AATATACAGTCTTATTTCCTTATTTTTTCTTAACAAAATGTAACATATGTTTTTGAACTCTTAAAAATATATCATGACATTCACTTCATATTAGTACATAGAACTCCTCTTCATTCTCATTTATGGTCTCATAGTATTCAACTGTGTATCTATACCATCTTGAATTCAACAAGTTTCCTATCTGTGTGACATTCGGGCTGCTTCTAACATTTTGCTATTAAAAATAATGCCATGATTAATAACCCTGTGCCCTTTTTGTTTTATTTTTTGCAGTTGTATCCTCTGGGTAATTTCCTATAAAAGATATTACTGAGTCAAAGGACAAATATATATGAATATATAAGTTTGTTAAGTATTGCCAAATTTTCTCTCCATAGTGTCTGTTCCATTTTGCACTTCCAACATCAAGGGAATAGAGTGCCTATTTTCCTCACAGCTTTATTAATATAGTAGGCTGCCACCTTTTGAATTTTCGTCAATCAATGAGTAAGAAACAGTATCTCAGTATAGTTTCAGAATTCTCTCTTGAGTAAAGTTGAGCTTCTTTTCATTCGTTTAAAGAGCTTTTGATGCCTTTTTAAATGAATTGCCATGTCCTTTGCCCATTTTTCTATCAGGTTTTCGGTCTTGTTTCTCTAGATTCTTACAGAGCTCTTTATATATTCTAGCTCATTGACTATAAATATCATTTAAACCTTGTTGACTCCCAAATCCATATCCCCACACCTGAGCTCCAGATTTGTGTACCCAGCTATCTACTTGACACTTGAACTTAGATACCAAATAGGCATCTCAGATCTACTGTGACAAAAAACAGAACTATATTTTGTACCTTAGCAAATCCTTATCTCAATAAATAATACCCCCAAACCTGACCATTTTCCTATATCTCCTCTGGTGTAAACCTGGACCAAGCCAACATCATTGATCTCTCTGACTATGGCAGCACTTCCTAACTGGCCTCTCCACTTGCACCTTTCTTCTTCCCTACCCTATAATCCATTTTCCAAATAGTGACCAGGGTGATGTCTTTATAAGTATAAATCAAATCCTAAAGCTCTCTTTTAAGACTCTCCAATGGTTTCCCCTAGAATGGAATAGAATAGAATCCCAGTCCTTGTTGTGGCATCCATGACCTACAGGATTGACCATTTCCTGCCTCTCCAGTTGTTTCCCACCACTCTGCCCCTCAGTCCTCCTGCTCCAGCCACCACGGCTTTCTTCTGTCTCTTGAACATGCCAGGCTCATTATACTCTCAGGGTTTTGCAAGTTTCTCCTCTTTTTGTGTGAATATTCTTACCCTTCACTTCTTCCCATGGCTGTCTGCATCTTCCCACTCAGGTCGCAGCAAAAGTAGCCCCGCCCCCATCCTTTTTTGCTCTAGTTAATTTTAATCACAGTCTCCCCCAACAACGGTGACATCTTGGTTATATGAGTAGATAAATTTCCCTTCTTTTCTTAAACCAGTCTTGAGTTATTATTATTTTTTCACTTGCCACAAAAATAATTCTGTTTATAAACACACATACACACACATACACGCACACATAGGAATTTATCAACAATAAATGTAGGCATTTCAAATCAATTGGGAAATAATGATTTGGGGACAATTAACTATCCTTCTGAAAAAAATAAACTTAGATCCTCTACCTCAATATGTAAAAATATATTCTGAGTAGATTAAAAAGCTAAACATGAAAAACCCAAATTATAAAAATATTGGGAAAATATTGGAAAAACTACTGAGAATATGTTTATGAATTTGGGGTGAGAAAGATCTTCTTGAACAAGATGAAAAATCCAGAAGATATAAAAAGATATATAAATTGACAATTAAAATTTAAAACTTATGTAAATAAATAACACTACTAGTGAAATTAAAAGGCAAATAACAAACTGAAAGAAAATAAGAAAATACATCATATATAATATACAAAAGATTAATATCTTGAATATGGAAAATAACACAGAAGCCAACCTACGAGAACTTCCAGTAGCCAAAGCTGGGACAACTAGAGCAACAAAATGAATAATGATAGTATTTTATTATAACTCAAAGAAGAGAATGAATATTCATGAGTTCATACTGATGAGTAGATAAATAAATAAATTGGGGACGAAGGCCAATTCTTTCTTTCAAAAGGATTTCAAATAATAAATATAGAAGAAATGAGGAAAGTAGACTATTGCCATTAGAACACCATAAAAAAAGTGTGTTCACAGGAGGGGATGAGGTGAGGAATGACAGAATCAGGTATTTATTGCTGGTGGGAATATAAAATGATATGGCCACTTTGGGAAACAATTTGCCAGTTTTTTATGAAGTTGGCCTATACTTCCCATACAACTTCGTAAGTCCACCCCCAGGTATTTACAACCCAAATAGAAACCCAAACTTCTATCAGCTGGTGAATGGATAAATTATGGTTCAGCCATACACTGGAATACTACTCAGCAATAGAAAGAAAACAACTACTGACAGATAACAACAGGGATGAATATAAAAAGCATTATTTTAAAAAAGATACAAACAGGATACAATAAGAGCACCTATAAATCGACAATAAAAGACGTCTGATGACAAATAGGCAAAAGATATATAAAATACATCTTCAGTAAGAGAATAACAACCTTGGCATGTTCAAGAGACAAAAGAAACCAATGGTGGCTGCAGTAGAGGAAATACACACAGCTAAGAAAAATATGAAAAGATTCCTAACCTCATTGGTATTCAAGGAAAAGCTTATTAAAACAACATTAATATATAATCTTTTGCTCTTCAGATTGGAAGACATAAAGAAGAATGATTAAAGCAGATGTAGGCTGTACAAAAATGAATATGTTTATAATCTGTTGGTAAACATGTACCTTGGTGTGATCCTTTTTTTTTTTTTTTTTGAGACAGAGTCTCGCTTTGTTGCCCAGGATAGAGTGAGTGCTGTGGCGTCAGCCTAGCTCACAGCAACCTCAAACTCCTGGGCTCAAGCAATCCTGCTGCCTCAGCCTCCCGAGTAGCTGGGACTACAGGCATGCATCACCATGCCCAGCTATTATTTTTTTTCTATATATATTAGTTGGCCAATTAATTTCTTTCTATTTATAGTAGAGACAGGGTCTTCCTGACCTGGAGCAATCCACCCGCCTCGGCCTCCCAGAGTGCTAGGATTACAGGCCAGAGCCAGCGCTCCCAGCCCTGGTGTGATCCTTTTTGAAGGTAATTTGCCAGTATCTATTATAACGAAAAAGTGTTCTTGACTTTTAGTCTAGTATTTCCAAGTGGGTAGGTATCTATCCTAGAAAACTATTCATACAATTGCCTAAATAGGTCTGCATGCTCTTTGCAGCATTGTTTGTAAATAAATTGAAAACTTGGAATTGGAAAAATTGTAATTAACCTAATCATTTGCCAAAATAGAAAGCTATGTGGGAGTTAATAAGAATGAAGTAGAGCTATATGATGATTATTAAGGAAATGAGCAAGTTCAGAATAATATGTATAACATAATCTTATTTATGCGAGGAACATAAAACAGAGGCACAGGTTTCCACATGTTCATAGATGCATAGAAAAATGTCTGAAAGGATTCATATAAAACTGACAATAGCAGTTTACCCCAGGGAGAGGTATGGGATTGTGTGAGGGGAGAGAAGAGGTTGAGAAGATACTTAAAAAAAATCTGTATTTTTAAAAAAATTAGGACTAAAATTTTACTGGAGTATTAAAAAAAAAAAACAAGAAACATAAGGGAAGGTAACTTTTGAAGCAATCTTTGAAAATTCCAAAATTAATTCAGTTGATAATAGCATAAGAGTTTAGAGGTATTTGCTGGTATCTCATAGACGTGGTTAACTAGCACCAACAGCAAAAAGCATACACTTTGGAGTCAGATAGACTTGGATTTGAATTCTGGTTCTTCTCTTTACAGTGTGACTTGGCCAGGTCATTTAACCTCTCAGAGCCCCAAGATAATAATGGAACCTACTTCCAAAGGCTGTTATAAGGATTAAGGACATACAAAAATCTTTAGTGCATACCAAGTGCTCAGTAAGTGTTGGGTATTAATGGTTAAAATTATGATCTGTAATGCAATGAGAAGTGAGAAGCAGACAAATGGTGACCAAAAGGATTCTTATTATTTGCTCCATATTCTCCTACTGTAACTCATTTGTTTATTCATTTATTCATTAAGTATTTATTGAGCATTGTATGTATGGTGTTAGGTACTATACATACAATGTTAGAAATAAACCATGCTGTCCCTATTTTGCTGGAGTTGACACCTTCCTCCAATGAGAGACACACATAGCTAGCTGGCAACATAACATAGTGGTTATGCATGTGGGCATTGGACCCAGACACCCTGACTCTATCGCTTATTCTATGATCCTGAAGGAGTTACTTAAGCACTTTGGTCCCATCATCTATAAAATAGGCTCACAACACGTCCCCTCAACCAATATCTTCATCATAAGCTTCTTAAGAAGATTAAATAAGTCAGTACAAGGATAAAGCACCTTGCCTAGTGCCTGGCACATAGTATACACTAGTAAATGTCAGCCATTTTTATTTCCAGGCAATTATGCCACTGTGTGGTTGATGTTACAAGAGAGGAGTTTTGAGAGAAGTTCTACTTCCACCAACTCTGAAGATACTTGTCTATCTAGTAAACAACATACATCAAGTAATAGTGAATCCCTCTTTGTATTATTATTATTATTATTAGTTTTTGAGACAGAGTCTCACTTTGTTGCCTAGGCTAGAGTGAGTGCCGTGACATCAGTCTAGTTCACAGCAACCTCAATCTCCTAGACTCAAGCAATCCTTCTGCCTCAGCCTCCCAAGTAGCTGGGACTACAGGCATGCGCCACCATGCTCGGCTAATTTTTTCTATATATAATAGTTTGCCAATTAATTTCCTTCTATTTATAGTAGAGATGGGGTCTCACTCTTGGTTTCGAACTCCTGACCTCCAGCAATCCGCCCGCCTCGGCCTCCCAGAGTGTTAGGATTACAGGCATGAGCCACTGTGCCCGGCCCTTCTTTGTATTATTAATCAACAGCCAATTAGAACTGGAATAAGAACTTTTAATCAGCATGAGATAAGTAATATGATACAATATCTGTCCAAAGCAAAGAAACTTGACATTTTATCTAGAGTAAATGGGACAGTTCTGTTAGGCTTTTGCAAATATTGACAATTTCTGCCCTGAATCCCTAGGGGTACCTTCACACACTGACTTCTATGGTCCAGGACCCTTTTTCCCCCAGGATGGAAACTACTTATCTAGGGTCAAAAGGAAGGAAAAAAGGAGAGAAGGAGGGCAGGAAGCAGACACAAGTAGAACAACTACCATGTGCTAGGGGTTAGGTATTTTATCTCTTTAGCCTCCTGATGCACCATGAGGCTGGTGTGCTATTTCCATTTTAGACATAAGTAAACAGTGGCCCACAGACATTAAATAACATGTTTTGAGTCAACAGCTAATCAGTGCTAGAATTTCTAGGTTTTCTGATTGTAAGCCTGGAGCTCTGCCCTCGATATCAATGTACATCTCGTGAGAACCTGAGAGAGAAGTCAGCCTTCGGTGGGGTACTCTTCTATGTATTCCTCACTTGGCAGAGGATGGGGCAAGGATGGATTGGAGCAATGATGACTGATTGCCATCTTCCTTCTCTAGGTCTCTGGAAGGGAAGGTAGCCACTCGTGGCCAAATGGAGCAGGGATAATTGGAGAGTGAGAAACCAGCCTGGGGAATCACCCTGGCTGAGGATATCGTGGGTGTCTATACCTGGCGGGGTCTTCCTGAGAAGTCTTGGTGAGGAAGCCGGCACCCAGTTTGTGACTTTGCAAGGGTTTCCACCTGCCTGAAAGCAGATAAGTGTCCCAGAAGTAAAAATCCTGATTCTTCTCCTTCCCCCATAACCTGCACTGAAGCTGTCCCTTACTGAGGGCCAGGGAAGTATGGTGCCCTGGTCCTGCTCCCTGATCTCTTCCTGTTCTGAAGAATCTGGGTCCCAGACGGAGAGGAAAACCATCAATAATGAGTACTGTCAGCTGAATCCTGTGTTGGGACACTGGTCTGCCAGCCATTTGTATTTATCAGAAACTACAACATAGAATTCTTGAAATGGAATGTATCCAGGAAAATTTGGTTTATGTACTCTGTGTCTACTGTCCTTGTTTTGGGAATAAAATGAAATGACATTTATGGGAAACACCTAATAAACTTTAAAATGCAAAAAAATTATTATTGTCGTTGGTATTATGGAATCTTGGGGCTGAAAAGAATGATCGGGGTAGTTCAGTGTAATATCCTTACCCTAGTAGAAACACCTTCTCCAGCGTGTCTGACCACTTGCCAGCTAGCTCTGCTTGCATAATTGCAGTGACAGGCAGCTCACTCCCTGATAGGCAATCCCTTTCCTCTCTGGTCAGCTCTGAGGGAGAGAAAGTTCTTCTTTAGTTCAAGTTGAAGTCTCCCTTGCTGCAATCCCTGGGCATTTATACCCACCCCTATACTCAGGGAATTGAGGACAGTACTCATGGCCCGAGTCATCTTTTTTCCCCCCAGTGTAACTTTCTTTGATATCTCCATGTATTTTACACAGAATAATTTTCAGATTCTTCATGCCTTTGCACTGTATCCACTGCAGCTGGTCATTGTCTTCTTGAAAATAATGGTGCCCAGAACAAACACAACAAAAGTCAGCCACTGATGTGATTCAATTGCAGCAAAGTGCAGACGTATCACCTCCTAGAATCTACACTGTGTTACTCTATTGATGAAGCACAAAGTGAGTGCTTTCCCAGCACTTCCATGGCATTTGCTCGTTTTAAATTTGTAATTGGCAAAAATACACCCAAATCTTTCTTACCCAAACTATGTCAAAGTTTGTGCTTCCCAGAGTTATAGATTAGTTTAAATGGACTCAGGTTAGGAAATATCAATTGCCAGCATGCTAGAAGGTACATTTTTAGGCGCCCTTTTTAATCATATACCTGTCCCTCTCTGGTCCAGAAACCACCATCATAACTTCTGTGATACTTGTTCTCTTCCTGTCTTTACAGTTTACCAACTATGTATGCAAAACGTTTAGTTTTATTTGTTTTGGAACTCTGTGTAAGTGAAATTAGCCTGTCTGTATAATTTTATAATTGTCTTCTTTCCCTCAAAATTATGTTTGTGAGATTCATCTGTACTGAATATGTAGCTGTAGTTTGTTCACTTTCATTGCTGCAGAGTATTCCATTGTATAAATATTTTTAAAAAATTTAAATCCAGTCTACTGTTGATAAACATTTGGATCTTTTATTTATTTATTTATTGTATTATCAACTACACCACTATGAATATTCCTGTATGTGTTCCCTGGGGCATATGTGCAACGTAATCGATAAGTAATTATTTCATGTGTTTATATCTTATCTCACAATTTCCTTCACAATACTAGGAGCACATCTTTTATAGTTAATAAAGGCTTTGAGCACACACTAGTTTACTCTAGAATATACATTTAGGAGTGGAATTGCTGGGTCTTAGGGTTTACCTAAAATATGAAAATGTATATAACTCTTGATGTTCCTATCTGATTTCAAAATTGCCTTTTCAACCACCTCTTTGGCACTGGGAGCTCTAGGTGTCCAAACCAGATGCCTGACCATTTTTGAGTGACCTTGATCTGGTCTGGCTTCAAGCCCAATTACCAATGGCAATAAATGTGTCACTCACTCACTGAAAGGAACCTCTTCTGTAGAGGGCATCAGCATCTGCTATCTTTATAACCCCTGCCTCATGTTAGTCATCACAAGGAGACAGAAGATGCCCTGGGTTGCCTGATCCTGGCCAAAGGTCTCCCTGCTGAGAGCATGGATTTGCTCATGCAGGAAACTCATTTATGGTAGAGCCCTGCATGATCTCTCAAAGGCACACTAGCGATCTGGGGATATTAATTGCTCAAAAACCTCCCCATATAGGCCCTCTTCTGACGTTAGCAAGGTCTGGGGCAAAAGTATAAGTGGATAGCACATGTGGACCTAAGTTATCTAAAATTATAAATCACTCCAACTAACTCCTAACCTTAATACATTCCACTTTTGTACTTTTTTTTTGTAGAGACAGGGTCTTCCTCTGTCACCCAAGCTGGAGTGCAGTGGTGTGATCATAGCTCACTGCAGCCTCAAATTAATGGGCTCAAGTAATCCTCCTGCCTTCACCTCCCAAAGCACTGGGATTACAGGAGTGAGCTACCACAGCTGGCCCTATTCCGCTATTTTGAAAAATATATATCTATATACCTTTAATGACTTGAAAGACGAGGTTCAAATTTAGAATTCCTGAACTCCTGACATTTATGCACTTGAATGAAGTGGTGAGGGGAGCACAGGCTCTGGCCTAACTTTGGCCTATAACCCACCTGCCTTCTTTTCTCTCCTCTGTCTTGCATCCTTAGGTATCTGTGGACATAGCTGCTCGAAGATCCAAGTGCTGTGCCACCTCCCTAAAACACAGCTGCCCTTTAGCCACTTTTAGGGATGCCCAGACTCTGCCCTAGAGAGGATGAACCTGGGGAGAGGCCTCAGCTATAGCCATCTGGGGAGGGAATTCTGGGGTCACAGCTACCCAGAACTTGGTCCTTAAGCGCCAAACTCCGTGCACTCCTCACTTTGGGGGAGGAGTGTGGCCATCGGTGTGTGGGTGGGAGGTGAGAGAGGAGTCTAAAGTACCGGCCTAGGGCAGGTTCTCCGCCCAGGCATAAAGGCCGAACTTTCCGTATATGATTTGTCCTCTCAGGTCATGAGCGCACGGACTGTATCAGGCTGTACCCCCTGCACTTATCAGCACAGAAAAGCCAGACCGAGTGGCTTAATGGAAAGTACACTGGCCTATCCCTCAGAAGACCTGGAGTCTAGGCCCAGTACTGTGGGAAACAGTTCACACTTCATTACTTCATTTAAACTTCCCTTAGCTATTATACTGATAAAGGTTCCAAGGGGTTAAGCGACTCTCCCAAGGTCACGCAGCTAGGAGAGGTAGAAGCTGGATCTGCACTCCACCAAACGGCCTCCTCTTCTTTTTCTTTCCCCTCTGTGCAGGGGCAGAGACCTGGGAGCGGCCATTCGGAGAGGGCGCCCCTTTCCTGCCGCCCCTCGAACTAGCCTTCCCCCCGCGTCTGCCGCGCTCGGGCGCTCGGGCAGCGGGCGCGCTCCACCTGGCGCCTCTGCTCCCCGGGTTCTCTCCCACCCCGCGCGGAGCCCCGCCCCTCGCCTCAGGCCAGAGTCACGTGCTGCCCCATCCCCCCGCGCCTGCGCACTGCCTATTTCCCGCTGTCAGGATGAGGAGGCGGAGGTCGGCGCTCGGGTCCGTCTCTGCCCGCGGCTGTGGCGGCGCCGGCGGCTCCAGCCTTAGCGGTTCCTCCCTGGGCGGCGGCGGCGGCGGTTCGGTCGACGCCTCTTCCGCCAGCTGAGCCCGCGGGAGCCCGTGACGCCGCTTCCCCGCCCATCCCCGCTCCCCGAGGCCGGCCGCCTGGCCATGGCGCAGCCGGGCCCGGCTCCCCAGCCTGACGGTGAGGCGCCCACCATGGCAGGCGCGGCGGGCGCGGCCTGCCCGGCGTCGTCGCCGCGGAGGGACCTCGGGGCGGGCAGGCAGTGGGCGGGCGGCGGGAAGGGCGCCCGCAGGCCCCGGGGGTGACCCCGCCGGGCGAAGGCGGGCGCGCGCGGGCTCCGGCGCGGGCGGCGCGCGAGGGCGGCGCGGGCGCCTCGGCGGCAGTCGCTGGGGAGGGGGCGGGTGGCGCCGGTGGCAGCGCTCGCTGGAGGGCGGAGGGAAGGGCGTGGGGAGGCTCCGGAGCGTGGGAGAGTGTGCAGAGGGAGGTGCTGTGGGTAGCGGTGGGACCGGCACGTGGGTTCTGCCCGTGGGGAGGATGGAAATCGAGAACGTGTGCTATATTCGTTAACGAAAAAAAAAATCTTTGCTTAGGAAGTGGTAGTGTGTCCTCCCCCTGCCCCCTATCGCCCCAGTCTTTGGTGTAGAGCTCTTTGCTCCCACTTCTGTGACATGTAAAACCAGGTGGCATCAGTAACTGGGTTTAGTAGCATTCCTTGAGTGGCAGTGTGGCTTAATGTAAGTGCTAGGGCCTGGAAGTCTAAAGGACCTAAGCTTCCACTAAGAAGCTCTGGGCGCATTTCTTAGCCTCTTTGAGCCTCAGTATTCTCACTCATGAATTATCTCTTGGATATATTTTGTCTATAAAGATGGATATATTTTGTCTATAAAGAATGCAAAGTGATAGGTTGGTATTATTATGGGAGTATTAGGAATAATGCGGAGGGTGGTGTTTGAGGATGCCGAAATCTAGGAAATATGTCATTTATAGCATTTATATTTTTTGAAGGATTAAGAGCCCCATGCCAAACAGTCTAAATTGGTTGTCAGAACCCTTCATGATCTTCTGGGAAGTGGACTAATCTCTGCTTCACAGATTGACCACGTCGTTCCAGGTTTTACTATGTTTGGAAAGAGTGTGCTTGGTCTTTTGCAAGATTCTGAAGTATCTGGTTGTGAAAGTTCTTTCAGGTGTATTTCTATTATCAGCATGTGTGCTTAGGCATCTTTAAGTGTGAGGAGAATGTTGGAAAATGGTGCCAGGCACAGAGTAGGTCCTTAAAAACTTGCCTTTGCCAATGGTTGTCTCTTAAAGTAATCTGTTATGAAAACCTTAGTTTTTGTTGCTGCCTTTGGGGAACTTGAAACTATGTTATCAGATTTTAAGGCTCTGGCTGCTGTCTGGAAGTGTGCTGCAAAGCTTATTAGCCTCTGGTTTTGGGTTTTGTTAGTTGCCTAAGGGGAGATCTTCTGTAAGCCCCATCAGCTATTTCTGTTCCAGTAGAAGAGAAGGGAGACATTTGAGGGGGTGGGCTCTCAGAGAGAGGAAACTGGGATGTTTTCAGGCTACATTTTAATTCTCACCTTTTGCATTTGGAGTTAGGAAAGAAAACTTTGTTCTTCCACAAACCCTCTTTGTTACAACAGACAGAGGCACAATACAGAGAGCTCAGTGGTTTCTGGTTCTGATATAGTGTGGTAGGTGTATGCCTAGCTGGCTGCTGCCTTCTCTTGAGTTGCATGGAAACAAACGTCTAGGGCAGCTCAGGTGACATGATAGTCTGGAATTAAAATTCCCTCCCTCTTTCTAGATGTGAAATGGTCTTCCTTGTAAATAGGCAGAAGTGACTAAGCACTTGAAAGAGGCTAGGAAAAATTAGCTTTAGGAAATCTTGTATTCTTGCTATTCTTAGTGCAGGTTTGTTTCCTATTTTTCCAATCTTGTGACTAGGATGAGATTTAGTTTGCATAGATTGCAGTTTTTATTTTAAATTAATGTATTAAATGGGCAGCCACAACTGTTGTTTACAAAAGGAGAGATAATTTGGTATATTTGAGTGTTTTGTGTCAGTATTATCTTAGAAGTTCATCTTGGGGATTTAATTTTTTAAGGTGAACTTGTATAGACCACTTTAATTTTAGGCACTCTTGAATTTCCTAGTCCTGCTGATTTTTAAAAAAAACTATTGCAGAATTCTTTTGCTTCAAACAGGCAGTAAAAGATAACTGCATTGTCTTTGACTTTATCTTGTTTTTATCCCATTTTAGAGGCAATTGTCTTCCTTTCCTTTTTGATATATCTTGCCATGTTTTTCATGGAGGTATGGTAGATTAAGAAAAGATTTGTTTGTAAATTGACAGGATGAAATGTAATCATTTTCTTTTTATTCACTTAATTCCTTATTTTGTACATTTTTGGGAGAAAATTTGGCTTTTTTGATAATGCATCATCATTTACTTAGTTTAGAATAAAGGTAATTTTCAAGTTTCAATAGTCAAGTTTCAATTGATTAGTCTGTTTTCCCTTGAGAATTCAAAGATTATGTAAACATTTTCAAATTTTATTATTTATTTTAATCTAAGTTAAACTATATCTTAGAAGCATTTGCTCTGATTTTACTTCATTACTTTTTTATTCAAAAATACTGTCTTCTATAATTCCTCCATTAAAAAATATGTACAGCATTTTAAAAAGTAGAATTGTCTTCCCCCATCTCCCAGAAGTAATCACTAGTAAGTTTTCTGTCCTTGCTGACTCTTTTCTATAATTATGTAGGTATGCTACCTTTTACCCCCAGATAGATATGCTGTGTGTATACAGGTCTGCAACTTGCCTGTGTTGCTTAATAAATGTTAGCTGTCATTATTATATGCTTGTCAATGGTTATGTGGCCATGTAATCTGCTATAAGCACTGTAGGTATTATCTTGGGAAATCTTCAGGTTAGTGAGGTGAGTACTATTGTAATATTACTGCTCCAGTTTTATTGGTGAGGAAACTGAGGTACAGAGAAGTTAAAGAAGATAAACGTGCCTGAAGTTATACAGTTTGTAAGTAGGGGAGTAGGATTCAAATCCAGGCTATCTAATATCAGAGCCTTCTGGCCCATTTACTAGATCATGGACCATTTTTCAGGTCAGTGTTAAGGGTCTGCCTCATTCTTGTTAAGAGACTATTTCATTACATGCATGTACCAGGCGTGATTTATTTGCCAATTTCCCTGTTGATTGAAAAGTATATTGCTTTCAGTTTTTTCATCATTTTATAAACAGTGGTATAATATATGCCCTTGTGCATGTTTTCCAGGTACTCTTTTACTTCTGGATATATCAGTATATAAGACTAGTGAATTAAAGGACATAAGTTCTGAGTGATTTAAATTTTAATAGCTATTGCTAGTTTAGTGTCAAAAAGGCATCAATTTATGTCAGCAATTATGCCAGCAAGATAGGAGAGGGTGGATTTTTGCTACAATCTTACAAGTTGCGAATGATGTCAGTTGTTTGAAATTTGTGTCTGCCGGTAGATTTTTTTAAATTTTTTTGAGACAAAGTCTTGCTTTGTTGCCGGGGCTAGAGTGCAATGGTATAAGCCCAGCTCACAGCAACCTCAAACTCCTAGACTAAGGTGATACTACTGCCTCAGCCTCCGAAGTAGCTGGGACTACAAGTGTGTGCCATCACTCCTGGCTAATTTTCTCTTTCTTTCTTCCTTACCTTTCCTTTCTTTCCTTTCCTTCCTTCCTTTCTTCTTTTTTAGAGATGGGGTCTTGTTGTATTGTCCAGGCTGGTCTTGAACTCCTGGGCTCAAGCGATCTTCTTATTTCACCCTCCTGAATAGCTGGGATTACAAGACATGAGCCACTGCACCTGGCTAGACTAAATTTTAAAAGTATGGTGATATGCATACAAATGGAGCAGTCACTTGAGGGAGTAGTGTGGTTATGGCAAGGTGTGTGTTTTAAAAATAAAGATTTAAATAATGAAATAATTGTACATACTGGAGTAACTGCCAGTGGAAAGGGAGAAACTGCCTGGAGATGTAAAATGAAGGAGATGATAAGTAGGGCTAAGTTTCATGGGACTTGAGAGCAGATGAGGTGGAATAAGAGCATGGGTGCCAGTAAGAGAGACAAGGACTTCATCCTCCAAAACAGAAGGGAAAAAGGAAAAGATGATTAATAGAGAAAGGTAGAGAAAAGTGTGAGAAGAGAGAAACTGACTAAATATATGTAGTCTCCATTCTTTTATTCATTTATTCAAATATGTATGATTTGAGTATGTATTTTGAACAAGGCAGACAAGGTACCTCTGCTCATGGAGGTTATAGTTTTGAAAGCTTTATCACAGTCAAGTAGATAAGGGTATTTATACTGTCCTGGGTTCCTCCTGGGTTATCTTAACCAAAGAATACAGGAAATAATTTGGTTCTTTTCCCAGTTATCCTAAAGGTGATATAACAAGGACTGTTCCAGATGCACAGGAAAAAAGTTAATTCATTATATACATTGAATGCCTGGGCTTTATGGCTTAATTCTCTCGTGGACTCTGGTAGAGTACTAAGTACAGGATATGATTGAGACTTTACTGTGGGAGTTTGATGGGTTGGGGAGAACAAACCGTGATGTGGGTTGTCATTCCTTTGGTTAAGGCTATGAAAAATCAAGATAGGCTGCCGGGCTTGGTGGCTCACATTTGTAATCCCAGTATTTTGGGAGGCTGAGGTGGGAGGATAGCTTGAGGCCAGGAGTTTAAGATTAGCCTGGGCGATGTAGTGAGACTCCATCTCTACAAAAAAAATTAAAAAGAAATTAGCTGTGTGTGGTGTTGTACATCCGTGTTCCCAGCTACATGGAAGGCAGGAGGATCACTTGAGCCCAGAAGTTCAAAGTTACAGTGAGGCATGATCATGCCACTACACTCCAGCCTGGGTGACAGAGCAAGACCCTGTCTCTTAAAAATAATTAAAAAAAAAATCAAACTTGTTTTGCTGTTTAATCCTCAGTTGTTATCTACTTTCTCTAAACACCTGCTCTATTTATTGTCTATAAATAAACAACTGCCCCTATGTAGATCTTATCTCCCCAGCCTTCTTAGCTACTCAAAAGCAGAATCTTTTTAGCTGGGCATGGTGGTGCACACCTATAGGTCCAGCTGTTTGGGAGGTTGAGACAAGAGGATTGCTTGAGCCCAGGAGTTCAGAGCTTTAGTGTGCTATGATTGTACCTATGGAAAGAGCAGAAACTTTCTGAAACTACTGCTGTGTTTCATTTTGTGAACCTAGTA